CTACCAAAAACAAATAAACAAACAAACAAAAAACTGCTGAGAATATGGGAAAGACAATGTCACTATGAGTAACTGCAGGATAAACTACTACAGAAGATAGCAGCACAGAGAGAAAAATAGATATTTAGGTGAATATCAATCAGCATGTGTATGTGACAAAATTATCCAAGGCCAGGGAAAGAACTACATGGATGAGAAATAACAGAGGGGCTCACACATGGCTGGAAAACTGCTTGACCTTAATGGTAAAACTGGAAGACCTCATGATTCATGGAGCATAAATGAGAATATACAGGAGTCTGCCTTATGAGTAGGGGAATAATTAAGCCTTAGTCTGAGCCCTAATACAGTGCCACCTAATAAATCTTAAACACAAGCCCCAAAGAGCTCAAATTATTTCCAAGTAACTTATCTGTGTCCCAGAATAAAGTTCAGTAATACTTACAGGTGGGCCACGGATTTAGCTCAGTGGTGCCACCACCTGCCTCACAGCACAAGGTCCTGAGTTCCATCCTTAGTATCAAAAATAAAATAATATTTATAGGAACTCAAAAATATTGAAAGTCCACTAAATAAAACTGACAATATCTGACATCCAAGTACAACTACTAGGCTAGAAAAAGCAGAAAAACATGATTAATAATGAGGAAAACAATCCATGATAACTGTCCCAAAATTTATACATTAGAATTTGCAGAGAAAGACATTAAAAGTGTTGTTATAACTGCATATGTACACATGTTAAACTGTGTATATGTGTACAAACATAACAAAATGTTTTTAGATCCAAACAAATGCTATAATGTCTGAGATGAAAAATGCACTAGCTGCACCTGGCAGATTCAACACTGTAGAAGAAAAGGTAAGTGAACTTGAAAACAGCAATAGAAGCTATCAGAAATTGAACACAAAACAAAATTTTTAAAAATACACATCATATGATGATTTCAAGGAGCTTAAAGATATATAGAGTTTCAAAAGGAAAGAAGATAAGGGAGGCCAGCAAAATCTAAAAATGTCTCAAATTTGATGAAAACTATAAAATTCTAGGTCTAAGAATCTCAGTAACTCCAAGTACAAAATCAAAAGAAAACTATAGCAAAGTATACATAAGCAAATTACTTAAAGCTAATAAGAAAGAGAACATTTTAAAAACAGCCAGAGACAAAAGGCACATTATATACTGAGAAAGCTGGAGTGACTGCATATTTCACATTGTAAACAATCCTAGCAAAATAGAAGAAAACACTTTATATGAAGAAAAAGCACTGTTAACTTACAATTCTCTATGAAGTAGAACCACCATTCAAAAATGAGGGTGAAATAAAGACTTTCTCAGATATATTAAAGTAGAAAAAACTATCATTAGCAGAGCTGGACCGAAAGAAATGTTAAAGAGGTTGTGGGTAAGCTCATTGATAGAGTGGGTGCTCACCCCATGCAAGGTCCTCTGTCTAGTCAGCACCAAAAAACAAAAAAGGAATTTCCTTCAGGCAGAAAAATAAGTTGATCCTAAAAGGAAATATGGACCTATACAAAACAAAGAATTGCACTAGAAATGGTAACTATGGAGTAATATATGTTGGTTTCTTTTTCTTGTTACTGAATCCTCCTTAAAATATGATTGACTATTTTAAAAAATGGTAATAGTATGGAAAGGGATTTCCAATTTATGTCAAAGCAAGATGTAGAATTATAATACCACAAAATTGAGAGAAAAGAAATGGAAGGCTTTTTATACTTAAGTGGTATAATATTATCTGAACATAAATACTTTGGATACACATTCTAAATCTAAAGCAAACGGCAAAGCTGTGGTTAATAAGCCAACAAAAGAAATAGGCAATCACATCCCATTAAACTAAAATAAATGAAAAGGCAGAAAAAATAAAGAAAAGAAAATAGCAAGATGATAAATTTTAACTTTACTATATCAGTAGTCACATTAAATAGACTAAACTAAGAAACACATGTAAGTAACCAATGCATAAAAAATTAAATGGAAAATTATAATTGTGAACTAAAAAAATAAAAACAATTATTAAACCAGTGCTTTGGAGGAAATTTACAGCACTACATCCTATGTTAGAAAAGATGAAGTCTAAAACCTCAGTCTCAAGAAACTAGACTGAAGGATTTCCTTCCAAGTTTCGGTGATTTTTCTCTACTGCTTTTCTATTTGCTATCTGTATTACCTGCATTCCAATCTCCTTTTCTCCTACTTAATGTTCAATTGTTCTTTTTCTCCTAGTTCCAAGCACTGATGCTGTAGAGGAAATCTAAACAGGAGCCACCGGTAAGTCTAACCAAGGCCTTCACTCTTTTTTCCACCCTTCACATCTACCTACCAGCATGCCTGGGATCCAACAGGTGCTGGCAAGTTGGCTTCTCAAGACAAATTATCAAAATCATGGATGTGTAACTGCTACACTAGCTAACCTCACTGCAAAGAAACTTAGTGACTAGGATCAGGACACTCAGTATATCACAGGAGGTACCTGACTGGCTCGGCTGGAACCTGACAAGCAATTACAGAAGATGGTTCCAGGCCACTGAGTTTTCTAGAGCCACTAGGCTGCAAAAACAAGTAGAAAATTAATTACAGTTCCTCAGTAACCAAATTCTGGAGACCTGTGTGTACACACACATACACGTGGGGTGTGGGGAGGGCAGAAAACTTGGTACAAGGATTCAGATACTTTAACGAACTCAGTCTGTATTATTAGATCAAAGACTGGGATACAGTACAATATAAACAAGAACTTCACCAAATTAACGGGCAATACACCACCATGGCAATGATACCCAACTCATTCTTTGGTAACGGGAAGTACTGCAACCTCTCCTTAGTGCTAAATTTCAACAATTCCAATCTGATAGATCATTCGAGGACTCTTCCATTAAGCCTTCACTATTCCCTCTGATCAGTAGTGACCTCTAGCTCCCTGTCCCTGACAGCCCTCCACACACACTTTTCATTATTTTATGATGGCCAATTTAGGGCATCACTGTTTTAACCCCACATGGGAAGCTGTGTATTTAAGAGGGCAGCTTCTACAGACAAACTGGTGGGATTTAAAAACTAGTTCTATTAATTGTGTATTTAAGCAACTTAATTAATCTTTCTGCACCTCAATTTCCTCAACTGTAATATGGGGAATAATAAAAGATTATCCAGATAATCCATGGTGTAACTATTCAGTGACTAGCAGTATTTGTCTCATTTCCACTAAATGTCCCAAAGACACAGGAAACCTGTGCTCCCCTCAGCAGCACATATGTCAAAAGACACAGGAAACCTAACACAGCCTAACAGAACTCCATTTTCTCCCAACAACCTTCTCTCAGCAGCACTGCCCTCTCAGGTGCTCAAGTCGTGGCCAGTGAAGGATGGAAGAAGGGAACCACTCTGGACTCAATCCTTCACTTTACCCCGCCACTTCAATTCACCCACCAGGTCCTCCTTCCCAAGTGTGGAGCAAGTCTGACTGCTTTCTCCATCCTACTACTCTTTCTTGTGTGAGCCTCTGATCGACACACCAACTGCAGCCTCCAGCCTTGCCTCCCCGCCTTCGCTCTCAGTGCCACCCACTTTCCATACAGCAGCCACAGCAAGCTGAAGTATCAGTATGGTCATTTCACCTTACTACGTGAGTACTGTTGTGATAAGCCAGCTTTAACAACGCAGGTTTATGGGTGTCCTTTGAACTAGGTACAACCTGCCCTACACCTATGCTTAGGCACTGCAGGTTCCAAGACTGCTCACCCCTGCACTGTTATGTACAAGAAAACTCCCACCTTGTTTAAGCCACTATGGTTTAAAGTCTCTGTTACAGAAGCTAAACTTTACCCTAGTAATACAATAGGTACCTGGAGGTGGGGTGCTGCTGCTAGAGAAACATAAGTCACACTGGCTTTGCCGCCAAGCAGTCAGTGGTAATGAAACAGTGCAGAGCAGAAACCTAGTCACTCTTATTATCATTTCATGATGCTGGGAATTAAATGCATGCTACACATCCTTTGCTCTTGATCTACACTCCTGGCTCCCTAGTCATTCTTGCTATCTGTAAAAACAACTGACAAAGTTGCCGGCTGTCACTTGGAAGAAAGATCCGAAGATCCAGCATTTATGGAACCTGTAGCTCTAGAAGCAGCTAAAAAAACAAACAAAAAAAGTAAATGAAAGCAAATATTGGATGCGCTGGCTGCTTATCGCTATGCTTAGCACAGAAAGCATATGCTTAGCACATGAAAGAAATTAAGGTTGATTTAGAATTGGCCAATCTGCAAACAGGGAGCGGAAGATAACAGCGTCCTAAGAGTCTCTGCCTTCCAGCTCTGGAATCCAGGATTCCTCGCATCCCCCTGCAACCCGCTGAATGTTTCTCCTCAGGTCCTCGTGTAGCACCCTTCATCATCCTGCAAACCTCTCATGGATACGCAGCACGTCCCCCGCCCCCCGTCCCTTCAGCTTACCCTAGCGCCGTCCACCCAAGCAGCACTAGCAAGTTCACTTGCCAGGCTTGTTGGCAGCCCCTAATGACTCAAGAACAGCACAGTAAGGCCAGCGGGAGACCACTTAACGGAGACGTGGAGCACCTGGTGGTGCGCACGTTTTTAGGAACTCTGCATCTGGAGTTCCAGTTAGCGCTTGGAACTACAGTCCAGGAGGTCCGGCGCCTCCGCGCAGGCGCGGCCGGAGGGGCGGGACAGGGCGACGCGTAGGCC